ATTGCAGATTTTTGTTGTGATTTATAGAGGAATCACCTGATCCAAACCAGATGTAGCTTGTTCATAATTGGGGCTCACTAGCCCTTAAGGGCAATCACCCTGGTACATTCAGGCAATGCTTTGAAGATGCCCATAGGTATATAAAACTTCTCTTAGGGTATGTCTACACTTGCACCCTATTTTGAAATAGGGATGCAGATGAAGACATTCGAAATTGCAAATGAAGCCGGGATTTAAATATCCCATGCTTCATTTGCATAATCACATTATAGTGCTATTTCAAAATAGTGCTATTTCGAAATAAAACACGCTGTGTAGATGCGTTATTTCGAGAGAAAAATCCTTCTCTCGAAGTAACCCTTATTCCTCATAAATTGAGGTTTAAGGGTTATTTTGAGAAAAGAGTTTTCTCTTGAAATAACGCGTCTATGAAGCGCATTTTATTTCAAAATAGCAATATTTCAAAATAGTGCCATAATGTGATTATGCAAATGAAGCATGGGATATTTAAATCCCGGCTTCATTTGCATTTTCGAATTTCTTCATTGCATCCCTATTTTGAAATAGGTGCAAGTGTAGACATTCCTTTAGTGCTAATGAAAGATACCTTTGTTTGTTTCTATCATTCTAAAAGGTAAAATATTTTTAATTCCAAAAACTTTCATAAACTACCATTCTGAAAACTCAAAAGCTTGATTAATTGCATAAAAAAAAACCTTTACAATTTTGTTATGGTAAATTTTACTGTCTTTTTTACAAAAGAAAACATTGTTCTTTTATAGATCATAAATATTTGTATCAAAATAAGTCCTGAAGAGAAAAAAGCAAAAGCTGACCTCCTTTCTTATTGCAATTTTCATATTTTCAGTGGTAGAATTAGCAGTCCAAATATTTTTTCAAAATATTATTCTTTGTTTATTATATAGCACTGATCAAAAATACACGTGTTTTTTAAAATTAGAATCCTTTGGTATCAACTCTGTCATTTCAGTGCTTTAAAAAATATTGATGCCATTGCATCTATTGGCACATCAGGCTTAACTGACATGAAGAAATTAGCCAAGTGGGCAGCAGAAACAAAGTTGGATCCAAATGACCCCAAAAATGCAGATTTGATGCAGTTGATAATGGTAAGAAGGCTTTAATAAAGCCATTTTGTTGAAATCTGGGTTTTGCACATTTTTCTATGTCTTTTTAAAGGAAGTAAAGAAAATAATACTGTTTTAAATACAAAAAGTAGCAGTTCAGTTCTGTTTCTTATGTTTCACGTGACATATTGCATACTCCTAACTTGCTGTTTTTCCATAAATTTAGAATCAGTCACTGAATTAGTGGATTTTAGGATCCTTAAAGTTGTTTAAAATTTAATCTGATACAAATACTTGTTTTTTGTTCCCTAAACATTAAAACACAGATTGAATTCAGTAACTTGAGTTTGTATAACTCTTTCATGCTAACTCTGTCCCTAAAAGCTTAATGTAATTATATTGGTCTCATCGAAAGCCATATATTGCTCTCATTAAAGTCAATGGGAATTTTGCCATTCACTTTTTTAAAAAGGATTGGGTTCTTAGTGATCATAAAACAACACATTCTAGTGTTTGTTTAGCGGTATGAGATCATGAGGTTCATAATTGAAACCAGGGCGAAAGTACACATTTTGGCTCTTTTTAGCTTTGTTTTAGTTTCCCCTCTTGGTCTTTGTTGTTGGATTGCTTAGTGATGACTAGTAAGAATGAGTGGTATCCTTCACCTTTCTCTTTCATTTAGAAAATAATCTCCCAATTGTTTATTTTTTGTTTGTTTGTAAAAGAGTCAGATATTACTGATCCCAGATGCCATTATATTAGGAAGTATGCATGTACTTCTAGAGCCCATAGCCACTGCCAGAAAGGAGCCTAGGCATAAAATGTGTAGAGTTCAAGCCAGTACGACTGGTTCTGTATAATGTTCCTGAGGAGAAAAGAGGACAATCAATCCTTTAGTTTGATTAGTGGATAATTTTTATATCTCATCTTCCGTAGAAAGGTTTATCAAGAAAGGTTTAACTTACCTTAGGTTTTTTTTAAATGTGATGAAGTTAGCAGCATCATGAATTATTTTTTTAAATTTAAAAAAATTTATCTCATCACAATTTTGAAATGCATTCAGATGCTGAGCTGTATTACTCTATGGTCAGACAGGCCTTGTAGCTAGAAATATTGAATAGCAGCTCTCACTGAAAGATCGAACCATTTATAAGAATGGAGAAAATTAAGCATGGTATTTCTAATACATAATACAAATATGAATTTAATATTAGGTACTTGATTTTGAAATGTAAACTTGTTTTGCATGATGTGTTTTCAGTAGAGTTACACTGGTGTGTAACGGAAAGAAAACACAACCATATTTTTAATGTGCATGTCGGACCAAATTGTGAAACCCTTTAGCTTGTGGGGAGCAGTTGTTTACACGAGTAGTCGCACTGGCTAAGATGATACTGCTCAAATGAGAATGAAGTGTTGACAAGCTGTTCTTAGCTACCTCAAGTCTCAATCCTGCAAAGGCTTACATATGTGAATAACTTTATTCATATGAGTAGTTTCAGTGATTTGTAGCAATTGGGATCTTTTTGAACATTAACTTCAGTGTGACTACTCACTTTGGTAAAGTTATGCATATGACTAGGGCCACTCTCTGGCTGCCTAGCTCTGAAGAAAACAGTGAAAACTAAAGGTGTCATTCTATGGTTTTGCCATCCTTACTGCTGAGCTGTTGCTGTCAGGGTACTGCTTTCAGAGCTGCTCTCTGGCCATCAAGCTCTGAAGGCATTGATTGCTGAAGTAGAGGTGGCAATACCACAAGCCCCCTAAAATAACCTTATAATCCCACTGCAGCTCACTTTTGGGGTCAGGACCCTCAATTTGAGAAACACTGGTCTCTCCGAAATCTGTGTAGCATAGGGTAAAAGCACACACAGACCAGTTTTTACAGTCCATGACATGATTTTCATGGCCATGTGTTTGGGGGTGCTACATATAACCATGTCTTTGCAATATTGGAGATTAAATTGTTATGCTTGAAGCATAGTTTTCCTTTATATTTTGGTATATGTATAGCTTCAGTTGTCACTCTTAACAGTTACTACAATATTTCATATTACATTCTTACTAAAAATTAAGAATTATTAAACACTTATTTTAAAATATGAAATATTTCAGTTACATTTTGGCCTCATACGTTTACAATGAGACTCTTGTCAGTGTATCAGTGAGATTAATGGAATTAGTCAATCTGAAATTATTTTATGGAAATTTTCACTCTGAATTGAACTTTTAATATTTACCTTTGTTATTTAGGTTGCCACTACTGGAGATGGTTGTGTTCCTGGTTTCTTCAGACTGGAGCAATTGCAGCAAGAATTTAATTTTGTTTCCGATGAGGAACTTAACAGATCAAAAAGATTCCGACTCCTACAACTCAGACACAGAGAGGTGGCAGAGTTCCGTAATTATAAACAAGTCCCTTTACTTGAAAGAGAAATAACTGAAAAACTTTTTGAGGTAGGCAGTTGTCTGAAATTATTTAAATTATGGTATTTAAAGGTCTTTAATAAAATGTTTATTAGTTTTATCTCTAGTGATATTTGATGTGATAAAGTCAGTGTCTCATCATCTTGAGGTCCACATTCTACCCTGACTTCAAATGCATTGACTCCAAAAAGATTATATGGATTGTAAGTCAAAAAGTATTTCACTTTAAACATACCTCATTACCTGAATCTGGAATTTGATTTTATCCTTCCAAAGAAATAGCTGCTGTAACAGACTCTGTAGGAAGAAGATTTAAGTGGAACTGCACTGCAAAACATCAAGAGAGGTTGTGCAAAGTTAATTGAGGCACCGGCTTTATTAACATTTGTTGGACTTTTCGGAGAGGGCCTAAGAAAACAATGCTGCTGAACTGAAGCAAATGTTGGCATATTCCCATTGTAGACATTAAGGGCTCATCTAGACTACGTGGAACAGTCGAAAGAGGATATGCAAATTCAGTGGGAATTTGTAGTTTAGATGTGGCTTTTTTGGCGAACTCCCTCCCCACCTCCTTTTGTCGAATTTGAGAAACAGTGGTTTATACCAACAAATCAAAGTTCAGCTTCATGACGGAAAGGATAAAAGGAAATTTTCAAAGCTATTTGTTGTAGTTCAAGCCATGTGATTGCTATCTATATTACTTGAATGTGCAACTGAATTGCTACATACTGACTTAAAAATGTACCTCCTAACATCTAACATTGGAGTTGATTTACTTTTGATCCTATGTGGTTATATTAATAAAATGGTTACCTCTTTATGTGACATAAGTACACTAGAAAGGTCATCAAATCACAGTCTTAATTTTTGTATTTACACTTAGAACTATGAGAAAAGGCTCCGTGAAAGGGATATAATTGACAACAAGGATCACCTAGATGCACACAGAGCATTAGTTGCCAAGTATTTCCAGAAGGTGAGAAATGCAAAGAGTGTCAGTATTTCTCTTTCTTGCTAATTAGTTTACTCCTACTTTATTTATTTTTCACCACAGTTTACTTCATTTTTATTAGTTAAAAGTGGCAGATGTAATTCCAAATTACATTTGAAAAATAGATCTAAAGAAGAGTTCTGCCGAGAGAGAGGAAGTTTGTTTATTGACTTAATTCAAAGCTTTTGGAAATAATAGAAATAGAGAGATGTTATATGAAACTGATTATTATTGTATTAATCCTATAAAGCGATTACTGTAATACAAAAGTATGAGGACTTTGTTGGGAAGTGATTTGATGTAAAATTATAGTAAGAAAATAGTAGGACTCAATATTGTAGACTCTCGCAAATAATTAAGATAATTAAGATCATTTTTAAGCTGCAGTTTGAGCCCCTGAGCACCCACAAAGTTGGTGTCTATATCGATCCAGAATCATTAGTCTGAGACAACTACCTAGACTGCTTTTTGAGGAGTGTCAGCCGATGGTCAGGGCAGTGTGTGTGTGTGTGTTTCCGAGAAAAGGTTTAACGTCCGTGTCTTTACTGCTAGGACCGGGGTCCCGTCACAGACGGTAGCCAGCAGGCCAACAGACGCCCCTTTATAGGAAGAGCTTATTACACCTCAGATTTTAGCTGCTAGAATGCAAGATTGATTCCTTTAAGCTCTTCCTATACCTGTCCCTTATGACTGGCTGAAGTTCTTTTAAAATGTGCTTGGTTCTATTACAGCAACTGAAGGAGTCAGGTTAAAAACTTAAACAGTTACAGGTTTATTAAAAAGACTTATAAAAGCATATGGTTACAATGGCTATTGCCCTATTTCTTAACTGCTAGCAAATATAGATTTTAAAAAAATAGTTACAAAGAAAATAAAGATAGAAAATAGAAATAATGGTACCAAGTGACAGCTTAATCTTTAAAGAGCTCTAAGTCTATGTGTACACTTAAGACAAAGGACCACATACAGGTACAATTTTTACCCCTTTCTGTGCCTCTCGACTCCAGCGTGTCAGGCCAGGGCCGGTCTCTCAATTCCTAGGAAAGACGAATACGAGGTGGGCGTCCCCTTGGAACCTCAGGAGATCAAACACCTAACCCGACCAGCAAATAGATGGTAGATTGACACTCAAAGTAAATGTGCTGCTGGACCCATCTTTATACCCCTGGGACCCGTATCCTCTTTCTTATCTTAAGATGCCAAATTGTACTGGTCCGTTTTGTGGCGCCAGTTCTTACAAGCAAGTTTTAAGTTAATTTACACTTGCAAAAGAGATAACTAAATTGTGCGTACTAGACTTTTTTTACTGGGCGAGAGATTCCTCCCCCCGCGGACAGCTGTGTGTTTGTATCAATATGGGTTTGAGTCAAGGGCACGCCTTGGCCAGCAATTGGTATATCTCTGTTTACAGCCATTCACGGTCACACAGCCTGGGCCTTCTGCGCTGTGTGCCCTGTATGCTCCAGGCAAGCAAAAATGAATGTTACAGGGGGGTTCCTGTCTGGCTACAAGGAGTCAGTTACTCCTGGACTAGGATAGTATTTTGTGCCAAGGAAGTATCTATGGAAATGGAATCAAGAATCCCTGAACATGCCCCTTCTTTTGATGATGGGGGAGGGCTTAAAAATAACTTTTCAGTTTAATAAATTGAAACACACATATTTTCAGTAATTTTGGATAAGACATACAATTGTGGGTTTTTTCCCCTCCAGGTTAGAGAATCAGTGATAAACCGGTTCCTAATAGCAAAACACCATTTCCTTCTCTCTGACCTGGTAAATGAAGAAGAGGTTCCTAGTCTTGGGTAAGGGAAAAAAGTTTTTAATCATATCTGAAATCATTGAAATAACTAATTTTAAACTATCCCACAATATTTATGAGTGTTGTACTCCCTGGTTATTAATATTTTGAATTTATTATAATGCTATATTATTCTGTAAGCACCATGCTCAAAATACACACGTGTTTAAATAACTGTAACAAAACCATGCATCATAAATGTTTTAAAGGAATAAGCTACTTCCAGTAGTAGTATTAATTCACAGTAATACTTATTTATATTTGTATGCCACCATATTACTTCCATCTCTGATCACATTTGACCTCACTAACTTAAGGAAAGTCCAGCCTATCATGTACTTTAATGACTGATTCTAAGTAAGACCCAAGTGTGGTGTCTTTGGTGGA